CATGAGAACAGATAAACTTTTTGAAGAGAAGAAAGCAGATTAGACCTCATGGGAGCCCAAGAGTTAGAAAGTGGGTGGAGGAAGGAAGAAAAGGACCTGGGGGACAACACATATTAGAAATGCCGCCAATAACTCACCCATCGAGTGAGAGCAGCACTGAAGGACTGCTTGTGGCCACATGATGGTGTCACCACAAAAGGCTGACATTCGTCTCCAAGCATCCCATCTGTGCTCATGGGTGCTACTGAACCTTCAGTGTTTCCTGTGTGCAGACACTGTTCTAGGACTGGGGATACAGCAGTGAGCAAAATTAAGTCTGTCATGGTGCTTATATTCTGGTGTGTAGAGGTAAGTGAGACAGCCCAAAAATAAGAAAAAAGCAACATACATAGAATGAGAGGTGGTGACAGGTGCTGTTACCTGAAAAACCAGGATTTGTTCTCTTAGTAACAAACAATGCAAAACTCAGTTTTTGATCAATAGGAGTTTTATTACTTGGCATATGTAAGAAGGATACTGGGAATGTTCTCTAAAGCAGTGTCTGCAGTGTCTCCCCAAGGGAAAGTGACAGGAGGGTTTTACGGGGTGATGGAGAGGGGAGAGGGTGCAAAATCACATGTAGAGGAGGGATCCCAGTGGCACAGACGATTGAGCCATTATGCCAGCACATAGGTGGCATATTATGGCAATGAAGCTATAGCTCCTCCTAAGGTGGAGACTTTGACATGGTCAAGAGAAAAGTTGACACAGTTCATCTATAAATTGCCAGGGTCTGCAAGGAGCTGGTTCAAACCAACAGGGTGACCACATTCCATGCAGGGTTTGGGGAAGAACAGGCCACAGGGCAGAAGGCTGTGAAACAGGCTGATTGCTCAAGTTGACTGAATTCCTTTTATCCCTGGAGACCCTGATATGGGTTGGATCTGTGTCCCTGCCCTAATTTCATGTCAAATTGTAAACCCCAGTACTGGAGGAAGGGCCTGGTGGGGGGTGATTGGATCATAGGGTGGAGTTCTCATGAATGGTTTAGCACCATCCTCGCTTGGTACTGTATAGTGAATGATTTCTCATGACATGTGTTCATTTAAAGTCTGTGGCACCTGCCCTGCCCCTTCCTCCTGCTCCAGCCATGCAAGACATATCTGCTTCCCCTTTCCCTTCCACCATAATTTCTCTGGGGCCTCCCAAGAAGCAGAAGCGGCTATGCTTCCTGTACAGCTGCAGAACTGTGAACCAATTAAATCTCTTTTCTTTATAAATTACCCAGTCTCAGGTATTTCTTTACAGCAATACAAGAATGGACTAATACAGACCCTCTCTGTTTGCTTACATAAGGAGAAAAATAAGGCAGGAAAGGAGAACAGTGAGTGTTGGGACTAGCAGGAGTGGTGTTACCATCTCAGAAAAGGTGGCCAGGGAAGCTCATGAGAGGGTGACATATGAGTGAACATCTGATGGTGGTGAACATTCCAGGAAAAGGGAACACCAAGGCAAGGCCCTGAGTTGGGAGTATGTTTGAAATGTTTGAGGAGCAACTGGAAGCCAGTGGGACTGGAGTACAGTAGCAAGGAGAGTAGAGGACATGAGGTCAGAGAGGGAGCAACAGGAATGGGGGAGGGAGAGAGGGACATCATGCAGGGCCTTTAGGCTATTGCAAGGACTTTAGCTTTCGCTATGATGAGTGAGAGGATATGGAAGACTGACTATTTGCTAAATTGTTTCTTCTTCTTTCTGTGAACCCAGCTAGACTACGTTTCCCAGCCTCCCTTGCAGTGTGGCCATATGACTGAGCTTTGATGGAAGGAAGGAGGGTGGAGATGTTGTACACTACTTCCAGTACTGGCCATACAGACCTGCCATGTGTAATTCTCCGAGCTCATTCTCTTTCTGTGGCTAGAAGCTGTGTGTTGCAGATGGCAGAGCCACAAGACGGAAGGATCCTGTGAAACTGCCACTCAGTTTTTGAACCAGGAACACCATTTTTGGACTCTTTGTGAATGAGAAGTAGAACTTCTATTAGCTATTTTATGCCATTGATATATTAGGATTATCTCTTTCAGAGCTAGCATTGCCTTAACTAATACAGAAGGGAAGCTATTGGAAGGGTTTGAGCAGAGAAGTAACATGATCTAGTATTTTAAAAGGATCACATTAGACTGAAAGGGAGTAAGATTAGGAACCAAGTGCATTTAGGAAGTGTTTGCAACAATCCAGGTGAGTGATGATGATGATGGTTTCGTCCAGATTGGTAGCAGTGGAAGTAGTGAGAATATCAAATTCTGAATATATTTTGAAAGTAGTTTGAAAAGATTTCCTAATGGGTTGGAAATAGGGTGGAGAGAAAGAGAGGAGTTAAGGATGACTCCAAGGTTTTGAGCAAGTAGAAAAATGAGGCTTCCACTTATTAGGATGGAGAAGACTTTAGAGAGATCAAAGTTTTGAGGGATAATTTCTTTTTTTTTTTTCAAGACAGAGTCTCGCTCTGTCACCCAGGCTGGAGTGCAGTGGTGTGATCTCAGCTCACTGCAACTTCCACCTCCTGGGTTCAAGTGATTCTCCTGCCTCAGCCTCCTGAGTAGCTGGGACTACAGGCGTGCACCACCACACCCAGCTAATTTGAGGGATAATATTGAGATATTTGTTTTGGGCATATTAGACATTCAAGTAGAGATATCGACTAGGCAGTTGGATATGTATCTCTGGAGTACATAGTGGTCTGGACTAAAGATATAAGTTTAAGAGTATATTTGTAGCATGAAATCCATGTGTTTTGATTACAAGAGATTTAAGGACTGAATCCAGGGAATTTCTGATATTCAGACATGATTGGGGGGTGTTGATGAGAATGAATCAGCAAAGGAACTGAGAAAAAGGCCAATGAGGGAGGAGGAAAGCCAAGAGAGTGTCCTGGAAGCCAAGTGGAGAAAAGGTTCAGGGAGAAAGCATTCTGCTGACAGTGAGGTGGGGCCTGGTTAGCCATGGGCGTTAGCAATGTGGGAATCTTTGACAGGTTTGTTAAGGTAATGGATGCAAAAACCTGATTGAAGGGCTTCAAGAGATAATGGAGATTTTTAAAAGTTGGATCCCTTTCATGGAGTTTGCTTAAAGGGGTGGAGAAAACTGGAGCAAGGAGGCAGAGGGGCCAAGAGAGGTTTTGTTTTATTTTGTTCTTTTTTTAATGTAAGAAGTAAGTATGTTTAGGAGGCATACTAGTATGTTCCTTGCTGATGGGAAGGATCTAGAAGTAGAGATCAAACTGATGATGTAGGAAAAAGGAAAAGTTGCTGGTGTGACATCTTTGGGTGAGATGGGATGGGATCTACTACAAAAGGGAAAGAGCTGGACTTTGCTTGGAGACACAGTTCCTCCATAGTAACGAGGAGAGAAGCTAGAGTCAGTGGGTCTGGATCTAGGTAATTGGTAGATTCGGTGGTGAGAGCCTGAAATTCTCTTTCAATTTTTACTATGTTCTCAGTGAAATAGGAAGCGGGGTCATCAGGAGGCATCGGCAGTTAGAGGAGAGAGAACTTGTGAAATAGCCATTCAGCGGAGTGAACAGATTTAGGGGAATGTGTGATGATTTCCAGGCAACATCAAGGACCTCCTTGAGGCCATGATGATGACTTTGCAGTGAGACTGGTTAGTATGTCATGTGATCTTCTCCAGAGGGGTTCAGTGGCAAGCTTAGCAGCATCATACAGGCATGGAGCTGGTAGAGAACTGGATTTAGCCAAGGAAGGAAGTGAGAAAGACACAAAGATGTTGAGAGTGCATACCAGGAAGTGATAATAATAATGACTGATCACAGGTAATCTAGGTTACAGGGGAAGGAAATGAGAACATGAAGAGAGGGAGGGACAGTGAAAACCTGGTAGAAGCAATAGATTGTAGGATTGGTGGGTCAATGGATTATTGGACTCAGGAAAACACAGGAGATGGTATAGCTAGGGAGTGGAAATAATGGGGTTAGGTGCAGTTATTAATGACAAGCTTTAGGGTAAAATCAAGGGAGACAATGGTTGAGGAGGGTGGAAAAAGTATTATTGGAAGGCAGGAGTTCAGGGAACAGAGATCAAAGTACGGGAAGGATCATCTATGTGGATGTTGAAATTACTAAGAATTAGGACATAACTCAGTCTTTGAGTAATGGTGATCCAGGAGCTTATGTTTTTAGCCCTCCAACCATTTCAGCCTGAAAACTACTTCAGTGAGGAAAAAGACACTGCTAGCATATCTTAAGTCAAATCAAAATACCCACCCCAGTTGGGGGATGGGCAGCTTTCCTGAAGTACTCAAAGTCTGTTTCTCATTAAATGTGAAATTTTTCTTTTTTTGAGACAGGATCTCACTCTGTCACCCAGGCTAAAGGCAGTGGCACCCTCACTGCTCACTGCAGCCTTGACCTCCCAGGCTCAAGCAATACTCCCATCTCAGCCTCCCTAGTAGCTGGGACCACAGGCACACGCCACCACTCCCAGCTAATTTTTTTGTATTTTTGGCAGAGATGGGTTTTCGCCATGTTTCGCAGGCTGGTCTCAAACTTCTGGGCTCAAGTAGTTCACCTGCCTCAGCCTCCCAAAGTGTTGAGATTACAGGCATGAGCTACTGCTCCTGACACTATTGCACATTTTAAACAAAGAGGCCAGTCCATAGACCATCTGACAAACACTCCTTCATGACTCCCTTCATCTAAAATTGGTAAACCTCTGATTAACCTATATGTTGAGCCTATATTTCCTATCTCTGGAATCTCTAATTTAAAAAGTACTAACAAAGTATGTCGACTTTTCAAGGGAGTGTTATACAAAAAAGAAGTTGAGCCAGTGTTTGCGGCACGGAGATAATAGCAAACTTAGGGAATTTGAACACAAAAGAGAAATTCACCCTTCCTTACACACCTTGTCTTACTACCTCCCGTAAGAACCTTTCTGCACCTCAAACCCAAACCTCTATTCAGAACTATAGGGCTAGCAAGTCCAAGTTAGGGAACAGACCAACAATGAAGGAATAAAGCTTTAATCAGAAGAGAGGAACTAGCAAGAAAAACAGACAGAAAGGGAGATGGAAGGTGTCTGGCAGTTCACATTTGTCCAGAATGGTCTGAGCAGGGAAGAAAACATATTTCTTTTTTTTTTTTTTTGTTTATGGCTTTACTTTCAAGTTTTAAATTAGATAAATAGAAGCTTGGTAAGCATCTCTCAGGGATGTGTCCCTTCTCTTGTCCTCCTTATCTCATCTGCCAAGTCTCTTCTGTTTCTTGTTACTGCTTCTCTTTGTGTCTGTCATCTGCTTTGACTTTCTCCCGCCACCTTTCACCTTTCACCTCCATTTTGCTTTCTTCCACTTCTCTGGTCCTACTTCCCTTTCACTCCTTTCCTCCATCTCTTGGACCTGGCCATTCTGAGAGCACATCTTGCTAGGCCAGCTCTGGCAGCGGCATGGAGGTAGCGTATGCCAAGGTGCAGTGGTGAGGACGTGGTTATGTACAGCTGGAAAGGCTCTGCTGTCACCGTGAGGTGACTATTTTTCCTTAGTTGCAGTTTTCTCCTCCTCTCCATCCCGATAATCCCTCAGAAGCTGAATGCTGCAAAGTGGTATTGATGAGGCTTGCATAGATTCTCCCCATTGTGGAAGGATGGCTCAAATAGAATTTCCTGTGAGTATAGGAGAGAAAAGTGTTTGATAGGATATAAATTACCTAAAAAGCTCTTTTGTGAGCACATAGATACTTATGCTAATTTTAAAAAATGGTCAACTATCTATAATAGGTATCTTATAAGAGTTGGTGGTGGCCGGGCCCAGTGGCTCACACCTGTAATCCTAGCACTTTGGGAGGCCAAGGCAAGCAGATCACCTGAGGTCGGGTATTCGAGACAAGGCTGGCCAACATGGTGAAACTCTGTCTCTACTAAAAGTACAAAATTTAGCTGGGTGTGGTGGTGCATGCCTTTAATTTCAGCTACTCAGGAGACTGAGGCAGGAGGATCACTTGAACCTGGGAGGCAGAGGTTGCAGTGAGCTGAGATCATGCCGTTGCACTCCAGCCTGGGTGACAGAGTGAGACTCTGTCTCAGAAAAAAAAAAAGTTGGTGGTTTATTAATGATATTTTACTTTAGAAAACAGAAATCACCCCTCCCTTTTAAGGAAATCTATCTCTGGTCAGACAGAGGCACGTAGGAAGTACTTCACAAATGTTTATTAAATGAATGTGTGGATAGACAAATGGGCCTTGAGCATGGAGAGAGAAGGACTGGGACGTTAGGGAGGTCTGACCCCATCCCAGACCCCTTAGCCTACTTCCTTTTCACTCTCTGCACTCCAACCCAAGCAGTAAGAAGGCTCTTCAAGAGCTCCAGGAAAGGAAAAGAGAGGAAAGACCACATGGGGACTCTGCAGAGGAGACCCCTTACGCCTCCCACACAGCAAGAGAAAGCAGCTGTAGCATCAACAGCATCTGGGGGAACTCTGGGGGCCCTGGAGGTGCCACACATCAGGGTTTTGCTCAGCCCAGTTGGGAAAAGAGGGCTGAGGTCTCTGTGGCTAGCATCCCTTGACCATACCACACAGCTTTCTGGAATCACTCTCAGGACCCCAGGACCTGACCCAGCCCTGAGGCTGAATGCCAGGGCTGCCCCACAATGGCAGGGGATTCCTCCCATTGCTGTACCTATTGGTGGGGCCAGCTGTGGCCCAGTGGAGGCTGCCAGAGTGCTGAGGAGTGACAGGGGCTGCAGGCCGGAGGGGTTCTCTCTTTCCCACTCTCCGTACGTGAATGAAGCTCTCCAACGTAGGTCACGGGTGCAAGGGATGCTATCTTCACGGGAAGAATCTCTCCCTAGATCAAGTAAAGAAATGCATTTGTTTGTATGCTAGTTCACAGAGCACTCACAGGTAACAGTCGACATTTGGGGGGTGCTTATGATGTGCCAGGCACCATTACAAACAATTACATGCATTCATGGTCCTTTAATCCTCACCTCTGTAAGGACAGAGAGGATGAGTAATTTACCAATAGTCACACAAGGAGAGGCAGAGTCAGAATTCCAAGCCGGGCAGCCTGGCTCCAGAGTCCACGTTCTTACCACTATATCACATGAACAAGACAGCACCAGTAAAAGGAGAGACCTAATATGATTCAGATGGGTTAACTGAGTGAATTTCCCCAGGAGATTCATCTAGCTGAACTAGCAATGGCCTCGAACCTCAGAAGACCTTAAGCCAGAGCCTTTTCTTGGTCCACTTGGGCCCGGCTTTTCAAAGGATGGCCCATAGCCCAGCACCTTGGGCATTACCTGGAAGCATGGTAGAATCGCAGTCTCAAGCCCACTAGACCCAAGAAATTCAAATCTGCCTTTTAACAAGATCTATGGGGGACTGTTTGGATATTAAACTTTGAGAAGCACTGCAATAATAGGCCACACCACCTGCTGGTGGGGAGTGCAAAGAGTCAGCCACACAGGTGCTGTTGAGCCTCTGGTTTTTCCAATTGTAAGTCTCTCTTATTTATCCAAAAGTTCCAAGAGGCTAGGGTATAACAGTCTTTAAACTGAGAGAGTATGCTACCTCACCCAATGAGAAAAGAGGGCCTGGAGGCCACATGGGATGGTTAATTTCAATTCAATTTCAGCCTAGGAACATCTTGGGCATGGTAGGCCCCATGATGCCAGATACCCTGTGACCCTAAAATTCTGTTTTCTCAAGTCCCAGAAATGTTTGAAATAATCCTCACGTCTGTTTTCTTCAAGCCTAATGCCATGGGGTATGTTTTGAGTGTGTATGTTTATACATATGTGTGTTTGAATGTATGTTTAAATGCAGAGAAATTAATCACCATCATGTCATTAGTCGCATAACATGAGAAAACATTCTTAGGCTTGGACAAAATGTGAGGCAGCCACAGCTGTGCTCACCATTTAGAACAGGGGCTGTGAGCTGGCAGCCTCCAGGCTGAATGTGGTCTGCAGATATGTTTTGTTTGCCCACTAAGTGTTAGCCAATACTATGCTTTAATATTTTATAGGAAGGTGGTATGCCACATATGTCCAGATCTTTTGGCTTCTCTTGAAAAACCAGAATATTTGGCCTGGATTCCAGCATGGCAACAATTAATGGAAGTCTTAATTGAAACTTTCACTTTCTCATCGCCACTATCCCCACCGCTCCCTGCTGTCTTCTCAGTTTTGACACCAAGTGTCAGCTGCCAGCAGTTGTTTTACTTATAATAGAATTTAGAGAAAAGTTAACCTTTTCTTACATCCATGTCACCCAGCCCTTTATCCACTTTTTTTTTTTTTTTTTTTAGACGGAGTCTCGCTCTGTCGCCCAGGCTGGAGTGCAGTGGCCGGATCTCAGCTCACTGCAAGCTCCGCCTCCTGGGTTCACGCCATTCTCCTGCCTCAGCCTCCCGAGTAGCTGGGACTACAGGCGCCCGCCACCTTGCCCGGCTAGTTTTTTTGTAGTTTTAGTAGAGACGGAGTTTCACTGTGTTAGCCAGGATGGTCTCGATCTTCTGACCTTGTGATCCGCCCGTCTCGGCCTCCCAAAGTGCTGGGATTACAGGCTTGAGCCACCGCGCCCGGCCACTTTTTTTTTAAGTCTGAGTCTCACTCTGTCACCAGGCTGGAGTGCAGTGGCGCGATCTTGGCTTACCTCAACCTCCACTTCCCCAGGTTCAAGCGATTCTCCCGCCTCAGCCCCCCGAGTAGCTGGGACTACAGGTACACACCACCATACCCAGCTAATTTTTGTATTTTTAGTAGAGATGGGGTTTCACCATGTTGGCTAGGCTGGTCTCGAACTCCTGACGTCATGATCTGCCCGCCTCGGCCTCCCAAAGTGCTGGGATTACAGGCATGAGCCACTGCACCTGGCCCCTTTTACCCATTTATATCACCTGCAGACCTATACATTTGTAATCCCTGATTTAGACGAAAGTTAGCAGAGTTCCCCTGGGACCTATAGTCTTCTCTAAATTTATAAATATGTTATGATATTCTGGCTGCCCACTGAACCAACGTGAAGGAATAATTTATTGGTGGCATGGTATATGGGTATTTATTGCCTCCTATTGTGTTCTCAGCCCTCTGCTTCATGCTGTGGACAACTGAGAAGCATGAAAACAATTTAGTATTCACTGAAGAAATATCCCTCCAACCTATAAAACAACTAGGGAATAATGAAAGAGATGTTATGACCAAGGAAGGATTAGCCTGGCAGGAAGGTGTTGTGTGAAGGGTAGGATTTAGTAGGATAGGCAGGATTTAGAGTGAAGCATCGGGGAAAGGAAGTGGATGGGGGATGAAGGAGGCATGGGATGGCTAAGGTTTGCTGGAGCAAAAGATTTGGGCTGGAGAAGATGATTAGGCAGAGGGCTGCTATTAGAGGAACAGGGAGTGAGCAGGTGAGATGGGTGAGATGGGGGAAAATTGTGCAGGGCCATGCATGGCAAACTGAGTGGATTTGGGGTGAATAGAAGCTGGAAATAGGGAACTGGCTGCTTTTTCCAGAATGTGTCATGCTGCCTCATGCAGATTCTGTTTCTTCTTCCTGGAATGCCCTGCCTTATCTGTTTCAGCCAGCTCACTTGCATTCATTGTCTATGACTCAGTTCAGAAACCATGCCTCCCAGGCCAGCTTCCTGGCAGGAATGAGGGACCCCCTTCTTTGTGCTCCTTTGGCACCCTAGGCATAAGCTTTGAATGTTGTCTGGAAGAAGACGTTTTGTAATTCGGGGATTTCCCCATCTGACACTACCAAATTATAAACTTCTTGAGGGACCATGGGGTCTTTCTACATGGTGACCCTAAAGCACATCACAGTAATTGAGACTTACACAGTATTCAGTGCATGGTTTTGAATGAATAAATGGATAAATGAACTTGTGGAAGAGTGCTTCAGGCTTGAGATGAGACGGGCTGGGCTAGTGTAGGGTCTGTGGGTGTAGAAATGAAGTAAAGAATAGAAGATAAATTGCAAAGAAAGAAGTTGGTTAGGACTTGGTGCCAACTTGATTGTGGTGGCCAGAGAGCCTAAAGGAATTCAAACTAAGGCATGGAAAGACAATGTCAATACTGACAGCACCAGGACAACCAGGATGGGGGCTAGAGGGGATCTTATTCTTATATCCAGAGTAGAAAGCTCTTTGAGGTATGGTACCCTGTGCCCTCCCTTACCTGATCTGTTCTTGTTGGTCTCCACCTTTTTGCTGCTCCTGAAACTCGAGCCATTTCAGGATCAAGGAAATGAAAGTTGAAAGTAAAGGAAAAGAACATTAAATTTGTATTTCAGATCTTGTTCAAAAGTTCTTGATGCAAAGCTTTAGAGACAGATATAAATATGAAAAAGGCCAGCTGTGGCTATATTGGATGGGTGTGACGCATATTAAAGTTCCAGAAAAAAAAAATCAGGAAGGGGGAGGTGGAATGGGGTGGGAGGTGGGGAGCAGAGCCCATGCTGCTGATTTTGCTGAGGAGGAGGGGGTGACGCCATCTGTTCAGTTCTGCATCTCAGCCATTTATTTTATTTGCTGTTAAGTTGCATGTTGTTGCCAGTATGCAAAAACTGGTAATAATTGCAACCAGACTAGAACCAGCCCAAATGAGAGAAAAATCATCACTCAGGGACTCCATTCTGGGAAACTGAAGAGAAGGCGCTAAATGTCTGTACAAAGCAATTATCAAGATAGCAGTGAAGCAAAAACGAATCCCTTCCTCCCCTCGTTTCTTACATCCTTCTGATCTGCCCAGACTAGGTTGCCATAGCTCCCTAACTCGTTTTTCCACATCTCTCCTTCCCTTCAAATTAACTGTCAGGCAACAGCTAGCATGACCTTTTCAAAATGTAAATTGGATCACGTCACTTCCCTGTTTAAAATGCTGCTAAGGCTTCCATGACACTGGAAGTCTAAATTTCTTCTCATGGCTTCCCAGGCCCCGCCTGGCTCAGTCCCTGCCCTCTTCTACTTATTCTCTTCCACCACTACCTGCTCTTCCACACTGGCCTTCCACCAAGCTTCTTTCTTTGCAGAAGCCTCAGCCTTGCACCTGCCCATTCCCTTAGTCTGCCTGGCCCTTCTTCACCCTTTCTTTAGCTGTCTATTGCCTATTTTCTACTTCAGATCTTAGCCTCCTCTCAACTTCTAGAAATATTAAAAGCTGTCTGTGCCAGAGAGTGCCAGTAGGCCCCCAGTGACCCTTTTTGCCTTCTCCCTGGGGGGCACAGTACCTAATTTTGTGTTGTGTACATGGCTATGCAAAATGAGGAATGCATTTCCCAGCCTCCCTTGCAGCTGAGTGAGGTCATGTGACTGAATGTGACCAATGAGGTATAAACAGAAGCTGTTCTTTAAATAGTAATTTAAAAATCAGTGATCTGGCCAGGCACAGTGGCTCAATCCCGTAATACCAGCACTTTGGGAGGCTGAGGTGAGTGGATCACATGAGGCCAGGAGTTCAAGACCAGCCTGGCCAACATGGAGAAACCCCATCTCTAATAAAAATACAAAAATTAGCCAGGCATGATAGTGAGTGCCTATAACCCCAGCTACACTGGAGGTTAAGGCATAAGAATCACTTGAACCCGAGAGGCAGAGGTTGCAGTGAGCTGAGATTGTGCCATTGCACTCCAGCCTGGGAGACAGAGTGAGACTCTGTCTCAAAAAAGAAAAAAAGAAAGAAGGAAGGAAGGAAGGAAGGAAGGAAGGAAGGAAGGAAGGAAGGAAGGAAGAAAGAGTCAGCGATTTGATATTTTGAGACAACCAAAAAGTAGTTTCAAACTACCTTGCTCTATTAGAGTCCAGTGCCCTCTAGCTCAGCAATATAACATCTCATCGAGCAGTTCCTTCATTACAGAGCTCTGTATGATATATGGAGTGACAATCTCTAGGATATATTCCTTATACTGGGAAACAGATCAGTCTTTCTCTTGTGTTAATAGTTTTCTACTTCCAGCCAAGTTAGAATTAATAATACAAGTTAATATTTATTGAGAGCTTTCTTACAATTTGCCTCTAAATCTCCTGAGGAGCATTCTAAGTGCTTGATGCATATGAGCTCATTTGATCCTGACATCTGGAGGAGGTTGGCACTATTTTCATTTCCATATTACAGATCTGAAAACTGAGCCCCCAAGTTTCGATATGCTCAAGGGTGCAGTCAGAGCAGTGACTTGGGCCCACGTCTATGTGAGCTCTTCGCTGCTATAAGTGCTTGCCTCCTCTGAGCTGTACTGGTTTTCAGTTTATTACCAGTGCTCAGAAAGGGAATTTGTTCTGCCTCTGAACTGCTGGTCCAACTGGTTCCTGTTGTGACAAAATTCTCCTCTCTAATACCTCATTTTTCTCTCCTGGTAACATTTACTAATTTATTTCTGTCCTCCCCTTTCTATTAAACCATAAGTAACAGGCACTAGGACCCTGGATCCCACTTTATCTGGGACTGAATATTCTGTGGTACCCTCTGGTCTAAGTACGCTCAACTCATGTTTCTTTTAAACCAACCGGTTTTATACCAAGACTTAATGCTAAGTCATCCGTACATACAGCGGCATTGCCTCAGCCATGAAGAAGACAGATCTGTAGCATGGAGCTTTCCAGAACAGACTCTATATTAAGAAAACGACCACAGAAGTGCCATAAAGTCCAACCAGAGACCTTGGGTGAGTAGGTAAGTAAATCCAATAAGTCGACAATGTTTTGAACTATGGTTTTGGTTATTTCCTGTAGGACTAGAAACTGGATTAGAAATAAGGTTTTACGTGACCAGGCATGGTGGCTCACACCTGTAGTCCCGACACTGGGAGGCTGAGGCAGGTGGATCACTTGAGGTCAGGAATTCGATATCAGCCTGGCCAGCACGGTGAAACCCTGTCTCTACTAAAAATACAATAATTAGCCGGGTGTGGTGATGTGCGTCTGTAATCCCAGCTACTTGGGAGGCTGAGGCAGGAGAATCGCATCAACCCAGGAGGCAGAGGTTGCAGTGAGCTGAGACTGTGCCACTGCACTCCAGCCTGGGTGACAGAGTGAGACTCTTGTCTCAAATATACAAATGAACAACAACAAAAAAAGAAATTAGGTTTTACTTTTTCACCTGTATACCTAACTTATCCTCATTGTTGGAGAGTTTTGTTTCATTTTTTATAGTAGTCCTCCTCTGGAGTCAAGCCCACCATGCTTGCTGTGTGGAGAAGGAGAACAAGGCAAGGAGAGCTGGAGGAAGGTTGTCCTGAATCAAAGATAAAGACTGAACAGTGACTGGGCACGGTGGCTCATGCCTGAAATCCCAGCACTTTGGGAGGCCGAGGTGGGCAGCTCACCTGAGGTCAGGAGTTTGAGACCATCCTGGCCAACATGGTGAAACCGCATCTCTACTAAAAATACAAAAATTAGTTGGGGGCGTGGTGGCACATGCATGTAGTCACAGCTACTTGGGAGGCTGAGGCGGGAGAATCGTTTGAACCCTGGGTGACGGAGTGAGAATCTGTCTCAAAAAGGAAAAAAAACCTGGGTGACGGAGTGAGAATCTGGTCTCAAAAAGGAAAAAAAAAGACTGAAGGCCGGGCGCAGTGTGGCCTGCCTGTAATCCCAGCACTTTGGGGGAGGCTTGAGGACGGCGGATCACGAGGTCAGGAGATCGAGACCATCCTGGCTAACACATGAAACCCCGTCTCTACTAAAAAAATACAAAAATTAGCCGGGCGAGGTGGCGTGGCGCCTGAGAAGTCCCGCTTACTCGGGAGGCTGAGGCAGGAGAATGGGCGTGAAACCCGGGAGGCGGAGCTTGCTGTGAGTTGATCCGGCCTCTGCACTCCAGCCCGGGTGACAGACAAGACTCCGTCTCAAAAAAAAAAAAAAAAAAAAAAAAAAAGACTGGATAGTGAGTGGCAGTATATCAAGGCCAGGCTGGTCTTGAATTCCTGACCTCAAGCGATCCACCTGCCTCGGCCTCCCAAAGTGCTGGGATTACAGGCGTGAGCCACCATGCCCAGTCACGTAAAACCCTGTGTTCATTAACCAAGATGTTTGGTTTCTGGATCTCACAGCCCAGACCATCTGGGTTGCAGGAAGGAATGTCAGAGGCTGGCCTGATTTAAGTCATGTACCTCAACTGGTTCTGTTGGTGTAAGTCGGCAAAAATTTGAGAGAGGGCTTCACTCTCCCCCTTGGCCATTAGTTGAATGAGACTCTCGCTGGGCTGGGAGGCTTGGAGTTTCTTCTGTACTAACTATATGAAGAAAAAAAGCAGAACCAGGTGGTTAAGGCCTTGGGGTCTTCACATTTTCGTAATATCATGGTTCAGACTCTAAAGTGTTAGAACTCAAAAATTTCCAAAGTGCAGCCACACCAGCTGCTCACAGAGGCAATTCTGAGGCCATATTTTTTGGTTTACACTCCTTGTATAGGTAAAAATGTCCTTTTGTGCCTTAAGGATAATATCTTCATTACATACTTTTAACATAACTTAGCAGATACTTATTCCTATTAGTATACCTTAATATAATGTATGAATAGCCTATTAATATAAGCTTTAATAAAGTTTATGCTGTTTGGTTTTATACTTAAATGTAGGGGAATCATATATTTGTTATAGAAATTTAGTGGGATTTTTCTTTTGAGACAGAGTTTCACTCTTATGCCTAGGCTGGAGTGCAGTGGCGTGATCTCGGCTCACTGCGACCTCTGCCTCCTGGGTTCAAGCGATTCTCCTGCCTCAGCCTCCCAAGTAGCTGGGACTATAGATGTCTGCCACCACTCCTGGCTAATTTTTGTATTTTTAGTAGAGACAGGGTTTCACTATGTTGGCCAGGCTGGTCTTGATCTCCTGACCTTGTGATCTGCCCACCTTGGCCTCCCAAAGTGCTGGGATTACAGGCGTGAGCCACCGCACCCAGCCTAATTAGTGTTTTAAAATTTAATTTCTCTAAGATATATCCTATATATCCTATAATGTGCTGCTTCTTACATTGGGGCAAAATTAATTTCTTTCCTGCTGTTTGTGATACTCAAAAGTGTTCCAGTTGTGCTGTCCATGTCCATAGCCACTCATTCATTCCATATTTATTGAATGCCAACTAGGTGCCAGGTACTAGAGATATAGCCATAAAGAAGACAAATAAAACCCCCTGCCTTCATGGAGTTTCTGTTGTAGCTGAAGTCAGACTTACATTCATCATGTTCTGGGGCAAAAAGGCCCAGGTATCTTCACTGGTGAATTCTATCAAATATTTAAAGAAGAAGTAATAGCAATGCTTCATGAGTTCTTTCAGAACATAGAGGAGGCAATCCTTTCCAACTTCTTCAATGAGGCTAATATTAACTTGATACCAAAGCTAGGGTATCACAAAGATATCACAAGAAAATTGCAGACCAATATCTCTCATGAGCATAGATGCAAAATTCCTCAACATAATGTGAGCAAACTGAATCTAGTAACATGTGAAAAAGAAATATATGCACTGTGACCAGGCAGATTTTATTACAGGAACACAAAGTTGGTTTAACATTAAAAAAATCAATTAATGTAATATACTATATTAACAAAATAAAGGACAAACCACATAATCATCTTAATAGATGCAGAGACAGCATTTAACAAAATCTAATACCCATTCATGATGAAAGAAAACAAAAGAAAGAAAACCTTTTCAATAAACTAGGAATAAAGGGAACTTCCTCAACCAGATTAAGGGCATCTACAAATATTCATAATAAGCATCATACTTAATAGCAAAAAACTGAATGTTTTTTTCCTAAGATCAGGAACAAGACAAGGATGTCTGCTCTTGTTTCTCCTGTTAAACGTGTACTGGAGGTTCTAGCTAGTGCAATAGAGCAATAAACAAACCTAGATTGGAAATGAAGATGTGAAACTGTCCTTATTGCAGATGACATGAGTGTGTGTGTGTGTGTGTGTTTGTGTGTGTGTGTGTGTGGTGTGTAGGTAGAAAATCCCAAGGAATCCATAAAACTGCTATAATGTATAATGAAGTTAATATTTAAAAACCAATTGTATTTCTAATACTATCGATGAATGACCCAAAAATGAAATTAACAAAACACAAACAGTTCTGTTCACAACAGCATCAACAACAATAAAATACTTAGGAAAACGTTTAATAAAATAAGTGCAGAACTTGCAGAACTTGTCTACTAAAAACTACAAAATAGGCCGAGCATGTGGCTCACACCTGTAATTCCAGCACTTTCGGAGGCTGAGGCAGGAGAATTGCTTGAGCCCAGGAGTTCAAGACCAACCTAGGCAACACAGCGAGACCTCATCTCCATTAAAAACAAAACAAAAGCTACAAAACATTGCTAAGAGAAACTAAAATATTGAATAAATGAAAAGACATTCCATATTCAGATATTGGAAGACTCAATATTATCAGATGGCACTTCTCCCCAAAGTGATGTATAAATTCAACATGTGCTTATCAAAATTCTAACAGGTTTTTTTGTGAAATTAACAAACTGATTCTAAAATTTATATTAAAATGCAACAGATCTAGAATAGCCAACACAGCTTGAAAAAGAACAAAATTGGAAGACTTATATCACCCATTTTCAAACTTAATATAAAGCTACATTAACCAAGACATTGTTGTATTGACACAGAATAGACAAATAAATCAACAGAATGGAACTGATAATTCAGAAATAAATCCTTATATTGATAGTAAGTTGATTTTTGACGAAGGTGCTAAGACAATTCAATGTGGGAAGGAATAGTCTTTTCAACAAATGGTGCTAGGCTAATTACATATCCACATACACAGAAAAAGTACTTAGATCATTACCTCATTCCATACATAAATATTAACTCAAAATGGATCATAGACCTAGATGTAGGAGCTGAATCTATAAAACTCCTAAAGTAAAACACAGGATAAATCTTTGTGACTTTGGAATGAACAAAGAGTTCTTAGATATGCATAGAAAACCTGATCCATAAAAGAAAGTTTCATGCCTGTAATCCTAGCACTTTGGGAGGCTGAGGCGGGTGGATCACTTGAGGTCAGGAGTTTGAGACCAGCCTGGCCAACATGGTGAAACCCTGTCTCTACCAAAAAATACAAAAATTAGTTGAGTGCGGTAGCGCATGCCTGCAATCCCAGCTACTTGAGAGGCAGAGGTGGGAGAATCACTTGAACCCAGGGGGTGGAGGTTGCAATGAGTCGAGATTGTGCCATTTCACTCTAGCCTGGGCAACAGAGCGAGACTGTCTCAAAAAAAAGAAGAAAAAAGTTGACAATTGTACTTTATCAAAATTAAAAACTTTTGCTCCTCAAAAACATCATTAAGAAAATGAAAGGCAATTCATAGACTGAGAGAAAATATTTTCATATATCTGATGAACAACTTGTATCCAGAATATACAAAGAATTCTTACAATGCAACAAGAAGAAAAAACCCAATTGAAAAATGGTCAACGCTAGGCACAGTGCCTCATGCCTGTAATCCCAGCACTTCGGTGGGCCAAGGTGGGTGGATCACCTGAGGTCAGGAGTTCCAGACCAGCCTGGCTAACATGGCAAAACCCCGTCTCTACTAAAAATACAAAAATTGGCCGGGCGCAGTGGTGCACGCCTGTAATGCCAGCTAGTTGGGAGGCTGAGGCAGGAGAATCACTTGAGCCTGGGAGGCAGAGGTTTCAGTGAGCCAAGATCGTGCCACTGCACTTCAGCCAGGGCAACAGAGTGAGACTCCATTTCAAAAAAGAAAAAAAGCAGAACAAAACAAAAAGAAACTACAAATACTCTGTGACTCTGCCCTGGAGTTGGCCCCATGCTACAATATGGATGAACCTGAAAAATGTTATGCTAAGTGAAAGAAGCCAGACATGAAAGACTATATGTTGTAAGATTCCATTTATATGAAATGCCAAAGATGAATGTTTAGAGACTAAAGACAGATAATGGTTGCCTAGAGCTGGGAGTAGGAACAGGGAATGACTGCAAATGGGCGAGGGGAATTTTTTAGGGTAATGGAAATGTTCTGGAACTGGATTGTGGTGATGATTACATGACTCTATACATCTACTGAAAGTGTTGAAACTGTGGTTTCAACATAATCCACAATAAAATCCGCAATGGTAGATTTTAGAAAACAATAAACAATTTACATAAAATTGTTTATATAAAAAATATATAAAAGCAAAAAACAATTATAAAATAAGAAAATCCCCCATACTGGATTTTATGGTTCTAAATGCTATTCAATAAAGCTGTTTAGAAAAGGCCTGGAGCTGAGATCACTTTCATAGGGTGCTCACATACCAGCTGGGTTAAGCTCTACCTCACTGCTCTGGCCTTGGCTGGAGGTTGGCAATGGTGATTACTTACCTTTGAATCTCCTGAGGGGCTGCAGCAGTTCTTGGGTACCAGGCAATGAGTGACAAGAATCCTAGGATCTTTGGTGGTGATGGATAGCCCCTTTTGCAGAATTTGAACCAGTCGGATCCAGAAGTGGAAGACAGTCTCAGGATGGTCAGGGTGGAGCTTTAGGTAATAAATCTTCTCGGTGACTGTCCTCAACTGCAGGATGCGTTGATGGTGGTCACATACCTGGAGCTCCACAAACTTCAATGGGAGAATCCTGAAGCCACCAGGGAAGACACACATTGACAACCCTATTGCCTCCAATCTGACCCTGTCTTCATTAAAATGAGGAAGGTCTTCTTTAGAACTAAGGCTTTTGGAGGTAGGAAAGAGGGTGCTTTAGCACAGTGCTGTTCGAATGCTGGGGAGACCAAATACACCGGCTGAGTTTGTTTAAAATGCAGACACCTGAAGACACCACTGAAGATTCAGATTCAGTAGGAATTGGGTATGGCCCTGGAATTTGCATTGTAACTTCCACCTACCCTGCCATGATTCTCGTGTGCCCTAGACCCTATTTGAGAGAGACAGCCTAGGAGGTAAGGTGGCTGGAGTCATAAGATTTTGCAATTTCTTTCTTTCTTTCTTTTTTCTTTCTTTTTTTTTTTTCAGACGGAGTTTTGCTCTTGTTGCCCAGGCTGGAGTGCAATGGCACGATCTTACTCACCGCAACCTCTGCCTCCTGGGTTCAAGTGATTCTCCTGCCTCAGCCTTCTGAGTAGCTGGGATTACAGTCATGTGCCACCAGGCCCGTCTGATTTTTTATTTTTAGTAGAGATGGAGTTTCATCATGTTGGTCAGGCTGGTTTCGAACTCCTGACCTTAGGTGATCCACCCGTCTCTGCCTCCCAAAGTGCTGGGATTACAGGCATGAGCCACCACACCCAGCTGAAATTTCTTTCTTGAAAGCACCAAAAGAGCTTGCCGCACTGTCTGGCTTGTTCATTTATTGAGTTTAATGCCACAGTTAGTCTTCCCAAGGGAGTTAAAGTTCAAGGATCTGGCATTGGATCTAATATTAGTCAGCTGGGACTGGGCAGTACTTGCTACAGGTACACCAAGAACATCATGGAGAGGTGTATCACCAAGGTAGCATGGAGAAATGAAGGGCTTTCCTGGACTTTTGGGAATTTCTAGAGATTCTTGAGATATCCTACAGATTATCTAAAGAGGCCCAAAGATTTAAAAAGGCTACTTCATTCCAGACAAGCATGATGTCACTATATGCTACAGCTCTAAGTGAGACTTAGTCCCATTTATTTTACTGATTAAAAAACAAAACAAAACAAAACAAAAAAAACCTGGCAGGGCATGGTGGCTCACACCTGTAATCCCAGCACTTTGGGAGGCTGAGGCAGGTGGGTCATCTGAGGTCAGGAGTTCAAGACCAGCCTGGCCAACATGGTGAAACCCTGTCTCTATTAAAAATACAAAAATTATCCCGGCGTGGTGGTAGGTGCCTATAATCCCAGCTATTTGGTAGGCTGAGGCAGGAGAACCACTTGAACCTCGGAGGCAGAGGTTGCGGTGAGCCAAGATCCCACCATTGCACTCTAGCCTGGGTGACAGTCTTTTTTGAGATTCTCTCTCAAAAAAGAAAGAAAGAAAGAAGGAAAGAAAGAAATAAAGGAAGGAAGGAAGGAAGGAAGGAAGGAAGGAAGGAAGGAAGGAAGAAAGGAGAAAACTGAGGAGCAGCAAATAACTTGTGATTTTAAAAATTGAGTCCAGTTAGTTGCATACCAAGAACTAAAAATAATCTCCTTTCCCCAACCCATCTGCCAGACCTCATTGCCTCCTTGCCCTTGGGCCCAATGCTGAGAGATTTCCTATGAATTCAGTGGCGTCCATGCAGTGAGAAAGAAAGTGGGCAGGTAGACTGGCCCCTCACTCCTGTCCACATGACATCTCCCTTTGTCCCACTTGGCCTCTGTCCTTCCAGTGTACCACCTGTCTTAGGACACTGTTGTCTAAAAAAATCAGTGTCACTGCTGATGATATCTCTATCTTCTCCTTGAGTTTAGTAGTCAAGCAACCTCCACTTTGCATCCACCCCTCACCCCTCTTGTCCTCCATTCTCATCTGCGTTGCTCACCTCTTCAGGAAGATGTTCGGGGCTGTGGATGGTCTAGTCCATGTCTGGTTCTGCCCCTGGTGCCATTTGACACTGGCCATGAGTAGGATGTTGGGGAGGGGCAGGCAGGGCACTGAGGAGGTCACCCCCAGGGCCATGGTGTAGGAGGCTTTGTAGATGTCTCTCCAATTCCTGCCCCTTTTGACCTGCAACACAGCCCCCAGGCACAACCTGAGCATTTGGCAAAAGCCGCCATCTGTTTCAGCCCAGGGTTTCTCAACCTCGACACTATTAATGTTTTGGGTTGGATATTCTTTGTTGAGGGCAGGATACTGCTCTGCACACTAGAGAATGCTTAGTAGCATCCTTGACCTCTACCTACTAGTTCTAGTAGCACTACCAGCCAAATGGCGACAACAAAAAATGTCTCCAGACATTGTCAAATGTTCCCTGGCAGTTGGGGCCAAATATTAATTCTTGTTGATAGCCACTATATTGATTAAACAACTACTAGTATTTAAACAATATTTCAACCACCCTTTGTTAACAATTGCCCACAAGAATTACAGCCCAGGAGTTCCCTGCCATCTGTCATTTCTGCCAATCCTCCCTGGACTGTTTCCTGGCCTTCTCTGAAAAATTTATCCTCTTGGTCCTTCCTGAGGGGCCCTGTTATCTCCTGCACCTTCACTGAACAGGAAGGTCCTCTCTAACTCCAAAGTGATGTTTATTCTTGCTTCCATCCAACCAGAGGAGAGCCCAGGCAAGGAGACAAACATGCACCGAGTGCCTGTTAGACCAGGTGCTTTGCTTGTTGTATTAGCATTTCATCCTCAGGTCAGTTCAAACCTTTTACAATAAAGGGGCCAGATTCAGGCTGCACAGGTTACTTGCACAGTCACCTCCCAAGGAGAAGGCAGAAGACTGGAATCTGAGCCCAGCTGTCTCTGGGTCCCCAGGTGCTGTTCTTTCTCCAATCCGCATTTTTGTTCTCAAGAAGTGTCTCTTTTCACTGCCTCTTTTTTCATCTACTTCAGGTGACAGCCTGGGGGCTGAAGTAAACTGGGGGATTAGAATACCGAATTCTCCTCTCAGAGCAGAGGACCCCTGACCTTTCTCCCTGGGTGACAGCTATCTGTAGGAGAAGCCCTGTCTGAGGCTCAGCAAAGCCCAGGTCAGTGGGGATGGCCTTGTATTCCAGGTCACTATCTTCTTGCCTCAATTCTCACTCTGCCCCAGTTTCAGGGGTGGACTCTCTCAGTCATATCTTGGTAACAGGTTTAGAAGAATCAAAAAGTGCTATTCTGTGCCACCCAAGAGTACCTGGACGAAGTTGCTTTCAAACACCACGGAGTTAGGAAACAGGTTGAATTCTGGAGAATGAACCACCTGGCAGAGCAGTCCCTCCTCCACACCTAGGCCCACTCCAGGGTTCGGCCCTCGATCCACAGGAAAGAGGCCCCTGAATTCTTCCCAGGCATTCAGGGAAGGGAAGGTTGGATAGGATCTTGTGACTTTTACTGTCTTCTTTGATTTCCTCCAAGTCTTTCCATGTGGAACTGATGACATTTCTACACATGCTCAGGGGCCTGCTGCACATTTGTCCTGGGATCTCTCTCTCCCCTCCTGGCCTTGGGCAGCTGGCCAAGCCCTGGGACCGCCAGTCAGCTCACAATGATGAATGGATGACATCATGAAAAACCAGCACGGACCTGCAGGAAGGGGAAGTGCAGAGGAGCCGCCCTTTTCCTCCAGAGAGCCTGTGTGCCGCAGGCTGATATCCCGCAGCCCTTTTCAGGACCCCAGGACATAGTCCTCCCAGAACTTGCAGAGAAAGCAGTGAGCCACGCAGAAAGCAAGCAAGGAAGGCTGTCAGGAAGCTCCTTCCACTGCTAAGAGGAAAATGCCCTTCCTGCCTTTCAACCCTTCCTTACTCTGAATGCAACCAATCTCACACAACTTTAAAAGCTGCGTGTCCATTGAAAACCCTGTCTTCCTAAGCTTTGCATCATGTGGGCCCCCGACACCTTGGTGGGTCTGCAGGTTATGGAAGCAGTTGCAGGGCAGTTGGTGCCTGCTCTGTGTTCTGCCACGGCAGGCTGGTTACTTCTGCAGGACTTATTTCCCTTAAGAGGTCAAACTGAAGAAGCGGGGGAAGGAATTAGTTTCTTATCCAGAGGCTGGCTTTGTCAGGGCGCTGGCTGGGAGGAATAGAACCTCTGCTAGGTCCACAAGCTGTTCCCCCTCTCGGAGAGTGACAGCGTCCCTCACCCCTGAACCAGAGGAGGAAAGAGCCCAAATCATGGTCTGCTAGGTCAGGAGGAGAGAACCAAGCAGGCTGACCACTATGCAAGGCCATTCCCGGGAGAAACTGTTTTCTAATTTGGACCAAATTCTAAATTTTTATTTTTATTTTTGAGATGGAGTCTCGCTCTTATTGCTCAGGCTGGAGTGCAATGGCATGATCTCGGCTCACCACAACCTCCGCCTCCTGGGTTCAAGCGATTCTCCTGCCTCAGCCTCCTGAGTAGCTGGGATTACAGGCATGTGCCATCACGCCCAGCTAATTTTTTGTATTTCTAGTAGAGACAGGGTTTCTCCATGTTGGTCAGGCTGGTCTCGAACTCCCAATCTCAGGTGATCTGCCCACCTCGGCCTCCCAAAGTGCTGGGATTAGCCACTGTGTCTGGCCCAAATTCTGAATTTATTACATAATGAACTAACCATCAAGGTCAAATGTGACACATATAGAAAAAGGGTTTGACAATCATTACACACAAAGGACAAGCATGGAGGCTGACTTTTGTATTTCATTATAAAGTCAGAGAGAAGCCTAAAGGGCCTGGAGGCTCTCCCCATCCAATTCCATCAGTCCTTCCCTCTGGTCCTTCAGATCACACTCCTGCTCCAGCACCTGTTATAGCTCCTGACTCAGTAAAGCAACTTCCGACCTCACTTTTCTCATTATCTTTTGTTTACCAGGTAGGAAAAGTGATTTCATGGTCACATTCTCTAAGGATTGGATTAGAGACCACATCCTTTGGCTTGTATTTCCCTAGAAATAACCTAGAAAGGGAACACACAGCACAAAAGCATAGTAATTAATAAATTGATATGTTGCTGTTCACAGTTAAAGTTTACCACAACAATAAAGCTCATTGGTTTAGATATACGGTTTGAGTATACTTGGCCATTGAGACACCCCCAAGAGTCAGTTGGGGAGATGACTTCTTCTCTTTTCCGTACAAGTCTGTTAAGCCCACTTCTATGGTGTTCAACCCTCAGAGGAAGAAGGCTTGGGTGCCCAGTCTAGAAAGCTGATTGTGAGCAAATGATTTTTTAGCTCTTAACAAGATGCTAAGCAGTTGTGTAAATGGTGCTTTAAGGTGGCTCACACCTGTAATTCTAGTGCTTTGGGAAGCCTAGGCTCCTGGGAGGATCACTCTAGGACAGGAGTTCAAGGCTACAGTGAGCTGTGATCTTGCCACTGCAATCCAGCCTGCACAACAGAATGAGACCCTGTCTCTATTGAAACAAAAACAAAAACAAACAAACAAACACAAAGATATGCACCCCTTCCTACTTCCCCCACCGAACCTCAAAAACAAGCATATTGAATCTTTTTAGAAACCATGTGACAGATACTTAGTTGTCTGTTAGTTGTCTGTCCCAACACCCATTCCCTTCCTTCCTTCCTTCCTTCCTTCCTTCCTTCCTTCCTTCCTTCCTTCCTTCCTTCCTTCCTTCCTTCCTTCCTTCCTTCCTTTCTTTCTTTCTTTCTTTCTTTCTTTCTTTCTTTCTTTCTTTCTTTCTTTCTTTCTTTCTTTCTTTCTTTCTTTCTTTCTTTCTTTCGAGACAAGGTCTCACTCTGTGGCCCAGGCTGCTGGAGTGCAGTGGCACAATCTTGACTCACTGCAATCTCCACCTCCCAAGTTCAAGCAATTCTTCTGCCTCAGTCTCCTGAGTAGCTGGGACTGCAAACGTGCACCACTATGCCTGGCTAACTTTTGTATTTTTAGTAGAGATGGGGTTTCTGCCTCAGCCTCCTGAGTAGCTGGGACTATAAACGTGCACCACTATGCCTGGCTAACTTTTGTATTTTTAGTAGAGATGGGGTTTTGCCATCTCTACTAAAGGCTGGTCTCAAATCCCTGGCCTTAAGTAATCCGCCTGCCTTGGCCTCCCAAAATGCTGGGATTACAGGCCTCAGTCACCATGCCCGGCCCATTCTGATTTTTTTGTAATAGAATACTTGATCATGAGTTGGGCACAGGTCTCCTGTAAGAAAGATTACATTTCCTCGCTTCTCTTGCAGCTAGGTAAGGCCATGTGACTACCTTCTGGAAAAGAAGATGTAAAATTATTTACCAGTAACTTTAAGCAATGAAGAAAATACGGTTAATTTACAGGAAATTAGGACTGTAGAAACTACAAACTTGTAGCTTCTAGGGAAAGTTATATAGATGTGGGTTCCAATAACTTGAGAAAACATTGCTTTTTCCTCCTGTGTATTCAGTAATATTGATGCTGCCACAATCACTGCTGTTTGCACATTTAGTGATGAAAACTTTGGTGACAGCCTCAACCATGCTGACTGTCCTTTGATTTGAGGCCAAAGCCACTTTGGTAGTGCAAGGTATCATTTCATAGCTTGCACAGGAATTACCAGGACATTCAGTTGTCAGCTGGGGCTTGACCCAGGTTTTGTGAAGCTAAGAGTTTATACAATTTTGGAAACTCTTAAAAATAAAAGGACTGGATGGAGGAAGTCATAGGGAGTTATTGTTTAATGGGTCCAGAGTTTCAGTTATGGAAGATGAAAAAGTTTTGGAGATGGATGGTGGTGATGGTTGCAAAACAGTGAGAATGTACTTCATACCACTGAACTGCATACCTAAAATGGTTAAAATGGTACATTTTATGATGTGTATATTTCACCACAGTGAAAAGATGCTAGGACTTAACAAATAAAATTAAAACACCCACGAAAGTATGATACAAAATTGCTAGAGGTCCTCCTAGGGCCTCATAAGGCCCATATGAATTAGAGGCCCTGAAGCTTTAAGTTTTATTATCTTTGTGGTAAATCTGTCCCATTTAAATCTATGTCACTATTTAAAACACTTTATTATTACATAAGCAGTGTAAAGCTTTGTAGAATATTGGAAAATACAGCAAGGTGTCTGTTTTTGTTTTTTTTTTTTTTTTGAGACAGAGTCTCGCTCTGTCACCCAGGCTGGAGTGCAGTGGCCAGATCTCAGCTCACTGCAAGCTCCGCCTCCCAGGTTTACGCCATTCTCCTGCCTCAGCCTCCCGAGTAGCTGGGACTACAGGCGCCTGCCACCTCGCCCGGCTAGTTTTTCGTATTTTTTAGTAGAGACGGGGTTTCACCGTGTTAGCCAGGATGGTCTCGATCTCCTGACCTCGTGATCCGCCCGTTTCGGCCTCCCAAAGTGCTGGGATTACAGGCTTGAGCCACCGCGCCTGGCCGCAAGGTTTCTGTTGTTGTTGTTTTGAGATGGAGTCTTGCTCTGTCATCCAGGCTAGAGTGCAATGGAGTGATCTTAGCTCATTGCAACCTCCGCCTCCCAGGTTCAAGTGATTTTCTTGCCTCAACCTCCAGAGTAGCTGGTATTGCAGGCACCCGCCAACACGCCTGGCTAATTTTTGTATTTTTAGTAGAGACGGGGTTTCACCATGTTGGTCAGGCTGGTCTTGAACTCCTGACCTCAAGAAATCCATGCACGTTGTCCTCTCAAAGTGCTGGGATTACAGGCGTGAGCCACCATGGCCAGCAATACAGCAAGTTTTTAATAAAACTCAGCATAGTCCTGCCTCCTGGAGAACATCACTATAACTGTGTGTGTGTGTGTGTGTGTGTGTGTGTGTATAAAACCAAAATGAGATCATACTTTAAATATTGTTTTATAACTTTTTAATAACCTGGTTCATTTAGTTGACACTCTTTTAAACAACCTGATTCATTTAGTTGACACTCTCTGCCTTTGTTTTTCCCTATATTTTCATCTTACCTAATTTTCAGGCCACATTGTACTTTTTCCAATTAACTAAAATTATTACTGCAGTTGGCTTATCCAAATCAGTACCCAATCCAGGACCAAGCATGTTCCCTTAGCCTATTTAATTTAGTATATTCCCCTTTTTAGGACACTTATTAGTGAGAGCAGTTGAGTGAGTTGTCCCACACCATGTCCTACCTTCTAGGTTTGTCTGGTTGCTTCCATGGGGTGATGTTTAGTTTGATTCTCTAGCTACTTATTTCCCGTGAAATAGAAGCTCTATCTAAAGGAGAATGGCGTAAACCCGGGAGGCGAAGCTTGCAGTGAGCTGAGATCCGGCCACTGCAGTCCAGCCCGGGCTACAGAGCAAGACTCCGTCTCAAAAAAAAAAAAAAAAAAAAAAAAAAGGGTTACTGGATTCAAGGTAAACACTTTTTAAAAATAATTAAAATAGTCACTATTTCTTAGTAAAGCTCTATCACAGGATCTCTATAAGATGCTACTCTTCTCTCCCAAAGCATGCCAGGAGGAAAGTACACATGACAACTGCATATCAAAAGAATAATGATCCTAGGAAGTAGAAGAAAATATTTGACAAGA